AGGGTGAAGGAACATCTGGACGGTATGAAGAAATCGAGGTCCAAGACCCCCCTGGGTGGACACAGAGCGTACGCACACGGAGGGGCAGAGTTCCAAGTCTCTGTCAGGATCTTGACGCGAGAGCCTCACACTTTAGCCCGCAAAACTTTGGAGGCCTTCTGGATACGCGCCAAAAACCCCAAGTTGGACAGGAAAGATGAATTTCTAGCCATAACAAGTGAGCTCGTCCTTCGCTGAACTGTGTGGGCTTCAATCGTCGCCATCGGCTTCGGGTCGAAGGGCTGGGTCAGCTGAAGCCACCCACAGTGATTCAGTTTAGCGGTGGTCGAAACTCAAGCTAGCCGTGCGCTCCTAAGGTTAGTTGGTTTGTGCTTGTGAGCTGCGAGACCTCCCTGGACGCCTTTAGTCTATGGTGATCTGTTCTTAAGTCTGAAATGGCATTCGGCGGTAGATCACCTTATCTATGACATTCCAGGCTCCGAGAAGGCGACAAGGCCGAAACATAAGCCAAATAAAAGTTGTTAATATCTTGGCTGTGGTTTTAAACATCCAGTCAGAAGGATTCGATACTGGGTCTAGATTTGCAAGCAACTGAGATCTTATAAGATTATATTCGTTCAAACCAGGACAATGTGCATCCAGTTTCGGAAATCCTCAACTAATCTCCAACGCTGAATTTCTCTCTGAATTTGACAACCTTTATAAACACTTCAGCACTTCTCGGGAAGCACTAATCTTTTTCTTCACGGCTTCGTTTTCCTCTTTCCCAGTGGTCTGCCTTTAAGGAAGAAATGACCCTTTAAAGACAAGTTGGTTTACTTGAATGGGTCTAGAAAAACGCGCCACAACGCAACCGAAGCCCGGATGCATGCGCATTCGGTATTCAATGGTATGGCTGCCAGTTCCCTCGCGCGCGCGGGTTCAACAATCTGTATGTTGGAGCACAGCATCCCGTGCGATGTATCCATACAGCCATTCTATATACCAGGAGTTTCCGAAAAGAATTGAGGATCCCTAACTCGCTCAGTCAACACGGCAGTGGGAGTTTTCTAAGTCGGGGCCTTGTGACTTCCCATGATAGCTGAAGTAACGCATTTATTAGAACACCGGAGTTTGTCCAACCTGAATTCCTGTGAATAGAGGTAGCAGTTTTGCTGGGATCCTGTCTTGTGAACATACGGAATATTCGGAGTTTCAGGGTCTCACAGAAATTCTTTGGCTGAGTGGCGTTCAGTGCTGGAAGAAACTCAGAGGCCAGCGGGAATTTTAGCTTGGCACGGTTTTCTTCTACGTGGGTGTTGGAAGAAAATGTAAATTGAAAGGAGAAAAAACATTAAATCTCAGAAGGGGACTGTATCGATCCACCATTTAGGGGCTAATGCCGTTTGGACTCCAGAAATTTCGTCTTCGAGCTCATTTTCAAATTGCCTAAGCCACAAATCCACTAAAAACTTGTATATAGGGGTAATTCAACATCCTGATTACGAGTATGACATTCATTCTTGGCGCTGGCGCCAAGAGAGGATACTACGATTACCTCCTGGGCTCAGCCTTAGCAGAGCGCAGGTAACCGTAGTGTCATTCATTAGCGCCAGCGCCAAAAATGAATGTCATGTTCGTGATCAGGATGTTGAATTACCCCTATATACGTTTTTAGCGGATTTGGTGATCTTGCCACTTTTAAGAGCTCGAAGACGAAGTTTCTGGAGTCCAAACGGCATTAGCCCCTTTTAGGGGGGGGGGGGGAGAGGGGTCGTACGTAAACAACCAAAATCACCAACCAATTATGTGCCCTGGACACTGGACACAACGCTAGAACATGCTTCAAATTGGGCGATTTTATACGACTTCCTTCTAGTTTTCTAGAATTTCAGGAGACTGCGAATCGTCCACTTCGTTGTGGGACCACGCGTCCATTTACCTTCATTTGAATTAGGATTTGTCAATAAGAGCAGTTTTTGGCAATATTAAACTATTCCTACCCCAATCTGGTGGAATCAGGCCGGTTTTTTTACCGTTTTTTTCTACAAGAGCAGATTTGACCGAAATTTAATTGGTAGGGGTAATTCGACCTCCTGAACACAGATATCACATCCGCTTCACCCGAAACTGCCTGGCGCCTGCGCAAAACTATCCAAATCACCAAATTTACTGAAAACCTGTCCCTAGAGTTAGTTACCCCAGAACATAAATATCACATCCGTTGGGGCCAAAACTGCTTAGCGCCAGCGCCAGGACACCCTAAACTACCGAAATCGATGAAAACTTGCGTACGGGATTATTTGATATCCTGTTTACAAATATGACATTAGTTCTTGGCGCCGGCGCTATGGTAGGACACTATGGTCATCTGCGCTTTGCTAGGACTGGGCCTTTCCTGAACGGAATCACTCCTTTTCCCAGGTTCAGCCTTAGCAGGAAGCTAAATGGGGCTGATATGGAAAAATTTTTTTATCGATTTTAGAAGAAAAGATGCGGCGCTAAATTGGCGCCCAGTGGCGTCAAATGGCTGCAGCGTCAAAAAAAAATGCTATTTTCGTGATCAGGATGTCAATTAACCTTCGCACGAAAGTTTGCATCAAATTTGGTGAGAGAACAGCTGGCGCCTGTTGGCGCCAAATAGCGCCAGCGCCAGAAATGAATGTCATATTCATGATCAGGACATCAAATTACATCTACACACCAAGTTTCGACGAAAAGAAATTTTTTTGAGTTTATGGGCTGGGAACATTTCAATAGTGTCGTGTATCCAAACACACATATAGACGGAAAGTTTTGCCCGACCGACATCTAACATCAAATATCTAATAATAGCTCGGAGATCGGTTGTAGATATCTTCTTGCGCTGGACTCCAACGCTGAGCGGCAGAACTTCTACAAATGGCGGCACCCGATGGGATGTAGTCCCCAAAAAAAAAACAGGAACGCAGTTGGTGTGCTAAGGTTTCCGGCTGCCCCTCAGGTTTCACGTATTTGCTAATCAAAGCGAAAGCAGATTTCAGATACTGATTATGACTACGCACAAAAGCGATGATCTTTTCGCAAAAAAACCGCTCTTGTTGAAGTATCCTATTTCAAATGAAGTTAAAGGGACGCGTGGTCCCACAACGAAGTGGACGACTTGCCCCTGGTAAACTCGTCCGGCCGTTTTTCCGGGTGTAGGTTTAGGCGGCAGTTTTCAGGAGTTCCTAGCACAGATACTTCTTTATCCACGTTTTTGACGTCAGTTTATCCTCGAATCCAAAAGAAAATTGCGATCACACTCAAACTTGTTTAGGGCGCCACATCACCAATGTCTGTGCTACAACACAAAACGTATTTTCTGGAACTTGTACATACTTCAAATGCACCTATGTGGAACAGTTATCCTATTACACCCACTCAGTTGCTCAAGCATTGGTGTTTCTAGATTTCTTGTTATCACATGAAGATAAAGATATTTTCGTCGTCATCTTTGCCTTCAGTCCTGAAGTGAACTACCGCGCACCTCTTGCTAGCACTTCACCCTTCTAAAGTCCCCATTAACCCTGTCGCACTAGATTTGTCTTCGAAATTTCTATCTTTGCTCATGAAGGATTCTAAAAACTCAGGAAAAAACCCGATATAAGGTTCCGTACGACAGGGGCTTTAGAATCCGCGTACGCTTCTTATTGAATAGCTACCTGAGTGTGTCTATGATTGTAGCTCATGTCTAAGTGACTCCATGAACAGTCTGCGAACGGAGAAAGGAACATATGGGGAAACTACTGATTCACCTTCCAATATATAAAACACTGCATGTTTCAACTTCCAGTTTTCATGTGAAATCTCCTCCCTCGCGCCAGATTCAACGCGACCCATGCAATGACCGCGACGCGACCGCTCACCCGCTGTCCGAAAATGTTCGTTTGGCATTTAAGTCCTTCTGAGCTTTTGCACCACGAAAATTGGGTCGCTCGTGATTTTTACGCGTTTTACCTTGCGAGATGGGATGAAATTGACTGTATGTGCTATTAAGGAATAAAATGTAAAAAGGAAAGCAGAATTATTTATGGGCACGAGCGTGGTCAGCGAAAAGGACGTGGATGCCGACTAATGCCCCCCCCCAACAGAGAACAACTGAGCGGCTCCCCGTTAGAGGGCATCTAGCAAGTGAGGCGGTCCAACTGAGCGGGCGTTAGAACTAGAACTTTGAGGGGCTGTAGCTTGCCCCTCGCTCGCTGTTTAGTCGCGAGAGTAGGAAAGTTTCTAGCTTGGCGGCTGAACTACCTGCACAAGGAAGGACGACCATGGACTACTTTAGCGCGGGGGGCTGTCTTTAAGACCTTGCCATATTCGTGCATACGCTGACGCAAAGTATGCACGCAGTCTAGGCCGGAATGCACCTCGCAACCCATTTCAGTAGAGAATTCCAGATTCTCACGTGGCTACGGACGCTCATCATATTTATCCCTCATCAGATGCGTTCATGGATCGCGTCAGAATAGTGACACTTCAACTGCATTCGCACCATGAGGTTTGCGTTGTGACTGCATGCGAAAACGGAGACTACGAAACTCGGCAAAGCACCAGTAGCGCACCGTTGCGCGGATGTTGTAGAAATAGATATGAGCTCGCTAAGGCATTATTCACACTCTGCGGTCCAGTGTTTCTCTGAAACGCGGCGGTTCGGCGAAAAGCTTTCGATACATATCGACTGGCGGTTGGGCGAAGAGCCTGGCCGTTGGGCGAAAAGTTTTTGGTACGTATCGTCGGGCGTTTCGCCAAACCGCGACGTTTTTCGCCTTCTTATTGCTTTTGTCCCAACCGCCGGGTCGCAATTTGTGAACAATGCCAAGCTGGCCAAGCGATGGCGTGGATGGTGTCGAAACACCATATGGTAAACACTATGCTTCGACCTGTTTCCCTGCAGTTTTGAGAGGATAAAGTAGCATGCTCTTCGCACCTGCAAACCCATTCCCCTTTGCAAGGACCAGAATTCTTCGAGGTGATTGTACGGTTTCTTGTTACAAATCATTTGTTCAGCACAGCAATGAATGGATCCGAGGCAGCAGAATTTCCTCACTAAAAAACCGAGAGTGCTACCTTTTCCAGAAAGAGGACGAAGAACTCGCATCAACGTCGCATCAGCTTCCAGTAGCGTTAAATCATGCTCTGAACCGAGAAACTGCTCGCTCAACTCGGGATCATGAAGTCTTAACAACACCACTGCTCCTTCTCGATATGCTCTGAATTTCGCTTAATGTTTACTTAAAGAGTGTTGCGCTAAGAAAATCTTGACTGACATAGGGTTGACAGCAGGGGCTTTGCAGACCGCATTAAACTTTAGCCCAAAGTCGATGTAAAGATCATCCTAAATAGATTACAAGTAGAAAAGAGTAAACATTTGGAAGTTCGAAAATGGTGTTTGAGATCTGGCTCACCTGGATTCGTTGCACTATTTTCCCACTGACGAGTCGACCATTGAAATCACCTAGCTCAATGAATTTCGACTCTCGCAACATCCGCGAAAAGGTTAAGCCCTAAGGGAAGAGAAATTCAAAACCCTTGAAGAAGTACCGCAGCTCGACCATATGAACTGTATAACATCAGGATGTTGTTCTTACATCGAGTAACTAAATGACTGCCTGCTTCTTAGACCTGACTATCGTATTATGCTAGACCTCCACCACGTTCTTGAAGATCCCAATATTAACGAATAATTTGTTTTTGTTTAATGATCAGCGACGAGCATATTAGCTTACCCTGTTCATATCTGTCACATCACGCCCGATACTATCCACAAAATCGTCGAAGACATCTGAAGTGTCTGAAGCATGTGCGCATGTACCAGACGAATCAGCTGCAGAACAATATCGAAAAGATGTTCGTATGATGTTTGAGCTGAGCGCCATTGACTGCGTCACGAACCGCATCACCCTAACTTTAAAGAGTTCACATCGTTGGCATGAAGTCAAGTGTGTCGCAAGAAGTGTTGTCATGCCGCAGTGTTGAGAGGGAGGGTTTAGCTAGGGTGGTTTCAGGACATGGAGCGTTTTTTCAAAACGGTTTTTTTGCGCATTGTGTGGGCACATGCATGGACCATCGAACCGATGTCTTTCTTTTTCCGGATGTCTCTTAATACCGAAGGAAGGAGTAAAAAAGGAATTAGTGGAAACTGCTTTGTTTAGTGCCCCATACACTCAAATCACTTACAGCGCTGATCAGTTGCTGATTGGGAGGTGCCTTGAACCTTTATTTATGATGTGATACCTGACCAGATGCTGTCAAGCGACTCGCTCGCTATGTCGAACCCTTTGTTCACATGAAGATCTCCTTGTAGAATAAAGAGATCTGGCCGTTGAGTTGCTGTAGCTCACGAAAAATCCTGATGTGCTGAGTAGGAATCTCTGATTGCACAGGGCTTCGATGACCGTTACTGTCTCAACGGAGTCGAAGGATTTCTTCAGGTCGAAGAACACGAGACAGTACGGTAACTTCAGTAGGCGAACAACCATACACCGTACCCCCAAATGAGCCGCAATAAATCTGGATGCACACCAAACACGGCATCTCACGACAACAGCGTCGAAAATGCTTGGGGAACGTACGCGTTGCGATGATAGAGATGTCCAAAGGATTAGAACGATTGCGTGGGATCAGAACTATTGCATAGTGTTCGTAAGAACTACAGGTCCGTTGAATGCTCCAATAAATCATTTTTCTATTTGTAAATGTACTTGTATAATTGGGTTTCAACGCACTCATCAAAAATAGTCCGCGTTTGGGTCAGAATTCCTCATGACATTGCAGTGGAGTCTTTGCACATTACTGAAGTGAAGCATTTTCCAGATGAAAATGTCACGAGACTTCCCCGAATATTGATTAGATTAGTATAACAACATAGTTTTGCATGTATTCTCTTTCACAGGTCCCGCATTCATTCCCTGATGACCCTGCTTCTTTCCATGTTCGAGTAGTGGTTTCAATTATTCACATTCTTGTACATGGTTCTGATGACAGTATAGCCTCCTTGTCGTGTGTTTACCACTGCCTGCTTGTTTCCTGTAGGTTCCGTGCGATACGAGGAATGATGACAAGCACTTTTTCTGAACGAAACACAGTACGAGTACGAGATCCATGGTCAGCTCTGTCATCGCCACGATGGTCATGATCCTCTCCCTCTACTCCCCGCCTCCCACTCTTCGAGGCGTGCGCGTAGCCTCAAACACTATACTGTGTCTGTAACCAAGGTAATGGTTGGACTATACGTCTCGTCTGCAATCTACAAAACCACTACTAAACCGCCACAACAAGCTCTATTCACAGCTTCAAGAATAAGCTCGCAGTTGAAACCTGAATCACTCTAGGCATCCTAGGAGCGGTGCTGAAATGTGGAGAAAAAGTTCTCTATAGTGCAACAACATTCGTTCACTAAGAAAGACGAAAACTCATTCCGATGCAGCCGTGTTGTTTTTAAAATCTAGACAGACTACTAGTCAATTGAGAATGAAGGCAAAACTCGAACTGGGTTGCGGTGAGCTGCGTCCATAATTTTCGTCTGCATTTGAGCGTTTCGAGCGTTTTGGGCGAAAGGAATGTTAGCTATTGACGAAGCGTTTTTAATCTTATCAGCGGAATGCCAGCGTTTTGAGGTATGGTGTAGGTGTCTATGCCAGATCGACATCTACACATTCTTCTCGCCCAAAACGTTCAAAAAATGCTCGATGCGATAGCAACCACAACACACACGCGCTTTGTCCTTGCAATTTCGCCGCTCTTGTCGTGAGATTTTGGTGTGCACCCAGATTTATTTACGGCTCCTTTGGAGGTACGGTGTATGGTTGTTCGCCTACTGAAGTTACCATACTGTGAACGTGAGGCATACACTGCGAAGCATAATCATACTCCACCCATGAACCTGACAAAATTCTGTCTCACACGAAGTTTTCCAAAATGCCCCCATACAGAAAAATGTGGTAATTACCGACACCAATTCGCATGCCAACAACAAACACTAACTTGAAAAAACAACTTCTTTTCGTCAGTCTTTTCAAAAATGGTCGTTCTGATAACGCAGCAAAAGTATAGTTCCACCGAACAAATCGAATATTCCAACAACAAGTGTACAATAAAATGAATGAATTTTGATCCAGTAATCTATTAGAACTCTATTTCTCCAAATAAGTAGGAAAATCCGGTTGACCATGTTCGCTTAGAGATTTTAATAGGCTTTCGGCCGACTGCCCCAATGATTACTCCCTAAGCTCACGGACATTGTGGAACTGTGCATTACTCTCATGGATAATATGCATTATGAAGCCCCTCACATCCTCGACTGGGTTTTAGTCGAGGCTGCTCGCCAGGCAAAAGAGCGATTTGGTGACAACTGAATCACGCTCGAGTGTTTCGACAATCATGAACTGGTACATTATCCTGCATGGAAACGGGACCTTCTTGCTGATTTCTACCCAGAGAGCAAGGAGACGTTGTCGCATGACTTTCAGATGACGGAATCATTTCTCTTTTTATACGGAGCACAGTTTCAGACAATCCATTTATGCGATAGCAGCCCAGACCATGTACCACATTCACTGAAGTTCGCCTAGAAAGATGAAATTTGTCTTTCCTCAGGTCGTGCCAGCGTAATCGGTATTCGTCGAAGCCGTCGCAAATGAATTTTTTTCTCATCAGAAAACACGACCGCGAGAAAAAAAACTGAAAAAAAGAAGCAGTAGGGCACCGCAGCCAAAAGCTAACCTCACTCCATTGGGTTCGGCAACATCTTCGAGCAAATCCAGTTAGTTTTCCGCGATGGTTATTCGCTAGAAACAGTACGTAACCCATATTCCCCCTATGGGTGAACTCGGGAGTTTTTCAAGAGACGCCTAACAGTATTCTCCGAGACATTAACCTGTGAAGATGACTTGATTTCCCGACACGACACTGCAGAGTTGGATGCTTTCCTAAGGATAGCGGTTATTCCGATCGCGCAGCAAGGAAGGATGTCCAGAGCTCTTTTCAACGCAATGTCCTGTAGGTCCCTTGCAAAAAATTATTGATATAATAGCATGATGAGTGCGGCCCGCATCCCGCGCCATTCGACGATTCACCAGTTTTTGAGTCTTCTTTGCGATATTCTGTCCTTTTTCGAGGTCCATTAATTAAGTTCCACTTGCCACAGCCTAGAAGAGGCAAGAAGTCATAAAGATGAGAAGTTGCACCGAACAAAAATGAGTTGCAGATGGAAGATATGCGGTAGAACTATACTTTTGCTGCGTTGTCAGAACGACTATTTTTGAAAAAATTGACGAAAAAGAATTGTTTTTTCAAGCTAGAGTTCGGTGTTACCATGCGAATTGGTATTGGTAATTACCACAATTTCTGTATGGAAGCATTTCTGAAAACGTCGTGTAAGACGGGATTTTGTGAAATTCATGGGTGGAACAATGATTATGCTTCGCAGTGCAGTGGCACCTTGAGCTCGCGCGATACTTCGATGAGCTTCATTACCAAGTGGATGTGATCGATCGAACTTGAGGCATATAATACTAGAAAAAAGTAACAAAAACTACAGAAATGGAAAGACTGCCAACGTTGGGAGCCGAACCATCGATACACAGTTTTGAAATTCCCAGAGCCGTTAAAAAATTTAATCTACGTTCCACAGTCCACACATAACCCCTAACATTGTGCAAAAAAAGGTTCGGAAAAATACTTCGTGTCTTGAGCGACATCACTGGTAATAGACAGGACTGTGAATCGCTAGTATGTGTGAATGCAACTCTTCAGTGGAAATATCAAAGTGGGATGAACCTCGAATAAAGGGACGAATTAGCATTGAAGGTTTTATTGAATATTTTTTTAATCAGTACGGAGGCGTCTACATTTATAAGACAACCACTCACAAGAATTTAATTGTTCATATCAAACAACGAAGTACAATAAATAAAGAACAACGACCATACAAAAGTAAGTTGAGCAGTTATTTTACAATCACCACAGCAGCATTGCATGCCTCGGTTGGTGTCTAAAAATTGGTCACCCTTCGCCTGCACCATCTGGTGTCATTGCATTCGAAATCACAACGAATACCACAATAGGAACAATGTACATCCACTGAAAATGATAGAATCATATGCAAATACAGTACATCACCGGTCAAGTCCCAATCGGCGTTCCCCACAGCTGTGGCATTACCAGTGCTGATAGTTTTCTTTTTCTTCCTAAATGGGGCTAATGCCGTTTGGACTCCAGAAATTTCGGCACCGAGCTCATTTTTAAATTGCCTAGTTCACTAAATCCGCTAAAAACTTGTATATAGGGGCACTTTAACATCCTGACTACGAATATGACATTCAATCTTGTCGCTGGCGCTAATGGATGACACTATGATCATCTGCGCTCTGCTAAGGCTGAGCCCAGAAGGTCCGCCCAGTACCTTCTTGCGGCGCAGATTCCCGTCCTTCATAAAATCCGTCGTAAGCGCGTGTGTCGCGTGCGGCTCCCGGCACTTTGCCAAGTCCTTTGATTGCGCTTTCAAATACAAGTAAAACGCAGTTTCCTGATGCGGATAACATTGGAGGTGTGCAAAATAAGAACAGAAGATGATGACGAGGGTCAGAAATTAAAAGCAACTGTGCCACTTCTGCAACATCCCTCGGAGGCCGCGTATTTCCACTGAACGTGAAAATAAAAACGACATACTCGTTAGTCTTACAAGCCAAACACAATTTCCTGATGCGAATAAAATTTTAGGTGTTGCTCATGCTTCAAACTGCATGTACAAGGAGATGAAGATGACACCTAGAAATGAAGCACAACGATGTAAATCTAAATAAAATAAAAATGAAAAAATCAAGGAAAGGCAAATTAGTCACAATCGCCTGTAAATTTCTACGATCCGGCGCGGATCCGGCGCCGAAGCCATAGAAATACTTAGAAAAAACGAGTGGGACGCTTGGGTTGTTTTTATTCTCATGTTTTGTGGGAATGCGCGGCC